GCAGTTCGATAGACATAACCCAATCTAGAAGGATCAAGAAAACACTTGCAATCCAAATGAAATCCAGTTTTTAAGGAACATTCATAACTTGGATGGACTGCAAGATGTCCGAGACAGCAATAACAAGGTCACCTGATTTGATCAAATTCCTGGCCTTGAGCAGTGAGAAGGTTTTATTCAGGTTGCTTTCCATATCATCAGAGAAGCTCACCCGAAATGGTATCAGACCCCACTGTAGGTTCAGACGCCTCCTCACAGATGTTGTGTTAGTAAAAGCAAAGATTGGGCAGTCAGGCCGGCAGCGTGACAGGAGAGATGCCATGTGTCCTGTCTTTGTATAGACAAAAAGAGCATCTACCCCTAAATTGTTAGCTGCAAAATCACAATTCACATTAAGATACGGTTCCACATGCAACAAAAAACAATGATGAAAACAAGTATACAATCCAACAGCAAGGGATGATAATAAAAAAATTTCAATCATTTGCATTACATTAACCAGCTTAGTAGGTCGCCAAGGGCCAAGAGACAAGTGAGGCCAAACATAACAAACACAAGATGAAAAAAGGGCACACATCGTCATTATATGAAAACTTCTCATTTTATTGAACCCTATTCTGGATGCACTTTTTGACGAAACTCTTGATGCAATATCCAGATTAGTATACTACAACTGCGGTATCTAATACATACAGTAAAAAGTTTTTTAAACAACTTTTCTGAAAACAGATAACATAAGTACATGCACTACTGGACTCAGAGTCTCATGAAACGAACTAGTATGTACCATAACATAAGTTCCTATAGAGGAGGACAAGAATCAATCAAGACATGAACGAACAAAAAATGTACAAATACATAGATGAAGCTGAAATGCTGTTTAAAAAACACAATTTAGAAATAGAGGGAAAACATCATATTTATGTCATTGGACATTTTCATTCAGCTTCTCAACAACTAGGATGATCAGTGCATTTTCAACAATATATAAAAGGAAAACAGGTCGGAAATTAATTAATCAAAACATTATCTGGCAACCAAAATGTACAAAATCACATATAGAACACTAGATGATTATCTCAACATTGCTTTGTGTGTGGGGGTATGTGCTTGGTATAAATGGCATTGTTGCTTTTGTTATTTTCTTAGAACGACTGATTTAGATGACACGTATTGTACATCCTGGTGTAAAATCCGTACTAGCAGAATACTGAAGCTTCATATATCAAGACTCTCTCTGCAGATCTGCTATATGCATTTTACGTAACACATGGACAATTGCTAAGCTTATGTCACTTAGAAACGTATTTAGTAAAACTACTGATAGTTATCAATCAAATAATGCTTACCCATCTTGGCAGCAGAAATGCAAAGCTCCTCTGAAATACTATCTGAAAATGACGATCCAACGCCTGGGAGTTCCATAGCTTCATGATGTTTCTCTTCCCTCCACCATCTCTCAATCCTCAGACTAACACTTCTCCGGGAACTGGCCCATAGCAGACTCACCAGAGAGCATCAAAGCATCAGCTCGCTGCCTCACTGCTTCAGAAACATCAGCCACTTCAGCTCTAGTTGGTGTAGGATATTCAATCATAGATTCGAGTAGTTGAGAAGCCACAATGACTGGCTTATTTAGCTGCCGACAAACTTGAACAATCCTGTGCTGGGCTGCTGGGACCTGTTCTAGTGGTATCTGAGCACCTAGATCTCCTCTTGCTACCATTGCTCCATCTGATGCTAGAATGATTTCTTCCAAGTTCTTTAGTGAGTCAATACTCTCTATCTTTGCAATGACAGCAATATCGCTGCACCAACATGATTAAAAAATGAATATTATCAGCTTAAATGAGAAACACACATTAACCATATTGGATATTGGATATAAAGACAATTCCCAAAATAGACCAAAAATTAATCAAAAGTGGAAAGATATTAATCTCAGTAGATCTAATTAAGTGGCAGATAGGTACATTGATCTTTAATTATTCAATTAAACTAATTGCACAGCCAACACATTAAGAGAACTTTGACCAACCACAAGTCTCACAAAATGCACACAGAAGTTGAAAACATGTCAAATCACTTAACAATGAGAGAACCAACAAGACCAGTCCATAGTAACAATTGAAAGGAGGTTTCATGATGATGTGTTAACATATGACCAAGAAATATAATATATATATATATATATATGTACTTCTATACAACATAAAACGTCTGAGTATGCACACATATTCAGGACTTTACTTTACCTATCTCGAGACCGTGCAGCAATATAGCTTTTAAGATGATTAATCACTTCAGCAGACTTGACAAAAGATACAGCGATAAAATCAACACCCTCTGCAATCCCAAAATCAATGTCCAACCAATCCTGAATAAATTGAAAGCTCGAGTATGAGACCAAAAGATAAGCTTTGACACTCACAAAAATGCTACTGTAAAAGCAAACACGTAGATTATAGCAGCACAAATGATATACACTTTTTAAAGTTAAGAGTTGCCAATTCATGATATGCTTTTGAGAAAGATTCGAAGTTTGACCAGACAATACTCCAGACATGGAGTATAGGATTGGCTTTACAACCAAGTTGAACCATAACCTAATCCATGTTGGGATTGTCAAAAGAATTAATCTTTATGCAAATATTCAAAATTTGGGCTTTTTGCAATTTACTCAATATGGTCAATACCATGCAACACTTAGGTTAAGCCATTCTAACCATTTAGCAATTTAATATTCACATCAAACGATAAGTCCCTTAATGTTTTTTCTTTTATCTAGGAGGAGGAAAAGAATGAGCAAACCTTAGAAGAAATTGTAGGAAGCATGGCATTACGTTCTCGCACTAAACTCCCATCCCTCCAGAAAGTCAAATTAGCCCGAGGCAGCAACAACCCTGGGTCCGTGCATCTACATTTAACATCGGGACCAAGCTTCTCAACCACCTCAAACCTCACCATGCCACCATCCACAAGCAGTTCATCCCCCACTTTCACATCTGCCAGCATAATATCACATCAAGTTTCACCATTTCAATCAAGAAAAGGAAAAAGCTTAAAATTTTGAATAAAAATTGGTAATTTGGTAAGTTTAATTTAATTGCCTTCAGCAAAACCATCATAATTCACATTGATGGTGCGTTCGGGGAGAGTGGAGCCGAAAGCTCTGACACTAAAAGTCCATATCTCATCATCCTGCACATAACGAAATCAAGCTAACCAGTTGTCAGTATTCAGCATCAAAACATGCACACAAACTGTTCGAGAAAATGCCACAGAAAACAAACGAACCTCGGCTTTTGCAGAAGAGGCGCCACCGAAATCGCCCATGTGAATCTCGCTGCCTTCGGTGTCCATCATGATGGCGACGGCGTACCCCTTCTCCTCGTTGAGCTTCCTGACGCGTTGTATGACCTCGCGGTGCCATTCGCGAGTGCCGTGGCACATGTTGATGCGAGCGACGTTCATGCCGCCAACAGCGAGCGACTCGAGCTGTTCGAAGCCGGAGGTGGCTGGGCCGATGGTGCAGATGAGCTTGGTGCGCCTTGTGCTACGGAATCCGTTCTCTCTGAGCTCCGCTTCGGTGACGGCGTCGACCTCGATGGAGCTGGAGAGAGCATGGTCGGGCTGCGAAGTAGGGGGTTGGAGCCCCAAAGAGGAAGTGCCGTTGTCGGTGACGATAACGAAAGGCTCGCGATCGGATGAGGCGGCTCTGATCGAAAGCTTCGGGAAGACGGAGATGGCGGTTGTGGCGGTGGTGGTGGTGACCGGTAACCAGCGATTGAAGGTGGAGAGGAAGGAGGTGTTGTGTTTGGGGACGGCGAGGTTCGATGGGGTGAGGAGATGCACAGACTGTGACATTGTGATTGGCGGTGACCGGAGATGTACGGTCAGAGAGTGAGAAGGTTGGGGGATTTAAAATAGAGGTGGGCGGAGTTGCCGAAGAGAAGAGAGAGAGAGAGCTTTGGAGGTGTTTCCAAAGTGAGCAGCAATGAGGGGGCAAAAACGGCTGAGACTGAGAAGAACAGGGGATACGGTGTCGTTTTAGGTTTGTGTGCAGTTGGGTGACGTGGCTGAGGGTGAGTGGTGGAATTTGGTGATGTTTACCAACCTGCCTGTGTTGATGATTGTTGGACAGTTGGGACTCGAGAGTCTTCAATACAAGAAGACTAGATTGGCAAGTATTTGGTGATTTTCAAGTTAAATTGGTAATTATACCTTTTTTGAGAAAAAGCGATATTTATTGATAGATAAACATTACAAATTATCTTCAACTCAGACATCATCAATGATATCGGGAGAATTTTCATAATACATTAGATGCATCAGTTAAAATTATAACAAAACGAGCTAGTTTATGAATAAGAATTTTGATTCGCGAGTTATTCCAATTTTTTTAAAAGAAGATTGAGAGTTAATTAATTAATTTAGTAATTATGTCAAAGTAATATTAAAATCATATAATCTTCCCCAAAAAAAAAAGTAAAATTAGGATGCTTAAAAAAGAGGAGCAATTTCTTATTTCTTTGAAAATAGCCAAGTACATACCCATTATTTCTCTTCCTAAATCTTGACTTTCTCAATTGATGACTTCATTCAAAATAAATAAACCTACCTACCTCTAGTGTGAATAGGAAATGTTAGTTTGGTTTGGGCCTTGGTGTTTCTTTATGTTTATAGGCCCTTAATTTAGCTACATCTTTTCATTTTGGTCAAGAAAATTTGCAGAAACATTTTTGAAACAATAAAACATAATTGGATATTCCCCATCTTTCTTTCTCTTTTGATTTGATTCCCACTCTTCTTTCTTTTTGAGCAAGATAGAGAAAGGGATAGACGTAAAGAGAGAGAGAGAGAGAGAGAGAGAGAGAGAGAGGGACATAGGGTGGGGTGGCGGGTAAAGCTAGCGGAGTTAGGGTATCTTCAAATGTTGTATTTTAGTTTTCTTTTTTGGTTTAAAATTATATAAATTAGACAGATATAAATAAAATATAAAAGTTGTGCCTCCGGTTATCCATGATCAAGTCCCAAATAGGCAGTGGTCTCCGACACCACTTGAACGAATAAATATTTTTGGTGGGTGCTTCAACGACTAATATTAACAACCCATTACAATAAAATACACAAATACAAAGGCGCTTCCTTTATCACCTTCCTCCACACAACAAACCAAAGCTTTCCCATACAGATCGGATTCGCAGCGACGCCGCCTCAGAATTTCTGAAACCCCAAAACTTGGTTTCTAAATACAAACCCAAATTCACTTTTGGGGTTTCTCTTGGTTCCAAACCTCTGCGTCCCGAACCATCGGAAAACCTCCCATCCCGATCAACCGCACCCTCCATCTCTGACCCTTCCGCCAATATCCAATTCCAGGTTCGATCAATTTCCTTTCCCCTTTTTTTAGTTCTTGAAAATTTTACTTCATCGATCTGCTAATTTCGGATCGAACCCACGTGAATTAGTTGATTTTTTATTATAATTATTATTTGGATCTTGATTTAATTTATTTATCTACCGTCACGTATGTTTATGATGTATGCAGGTATTTTATTTATATCTGGGTTGGGTTCTATTTGATTTCAAATTTATTGGGTAATATTGCTTTCTTATGAATTTTGGGTCTTGTAGGTAAAGTTTGGATTTTTGGTTTGGGGATAGAAGATGGGGGCATTCATTTCGAAGTTTTGGTTCATGTTGTTCCCTGCAAAAGAGTATAAGATAGTGGTAGTTGGGTTGGATAATGCTGGGAAGACCACTACCCTTTACAAATTACACTTGGGAGAGGTTGTCACAACGAACCCAACTGTAGGCAGCAACGTCGAAGAGCTTGTATACAAGAACATTCGCTTTGAGGTACCATAACCAATCCCATCTCTCCCTCTTCTATTTTCTGCTTTTGTTATTTTGGTTACTGGATGATTATCCACTTTAGGATGGATGAGTTTCTCGATCAAGTTAGGACATTTCTTGTCACTATTGTTTGTTGGCTTTAGTTGGTTTCTGATAACCCATTTGCGGGATTTTCTAATTCTGTATATTTGGCAATTGGACTTGATTTCTCACATAATTTTTTTTCTCTTCATAAAGAGCTATGCAGTCTGTAGGTATAGGGGTCTTTAAAGAAATCATCTTTCTCATTTTCTTTGGTTTCTTAGTACTACACAAAAGATTTTATTTCCCTCTATTTATCTTGGCATCTAAAATACCTTGCTGGCCGTTTCTGTCATCCTCTGTAGCAATGATCTTGAGGTTACTCTCTGTCTTTCACCTGCAATTTCCTCACAGCTATTGAGAATCTTTTCCATGGCAAGGCCACTTAATCCTGACGTAGTTACTAATCCCACACCCAGCAAACGCATTCCCATGAATTGTTTAGTTAAACAATTATCATTGTGAGCATTGAGGGGATGAAATCATTGGGTAAAGTTGTTGCTTTAGTCCTTACACAAAATTAATGCTGTATTGGAAGACTCACATCAGCATGAGTCTTTTGCCCTTGCACAAAATCTTACCTACCATGCTTTAGGTGCTTGAACATTCTTTTGTGTATGTGTTTGCGTGTGTGTGCATTTCTAATTTTTATGAATTGCATGTGTATGTGGAAGGATGATAAAGTTCTATTAAGTTTTAAGTTAACATATTCTTGGCCTTGTATAAGAGAATCATGTATTAATTAGTATCATGAATTTACATAAGACTGAAGAAACTAATATTCATAGTATATTTGGAGGTTTGGCATAATGCGAGATGGATGTAAGAGAACATATTGTTAGTTGTAATTGTAACTTTTAATTGGAAGGTTCTCATCATTGCTACCTATTAGAGCCATGTATGTATATCATTGTTTGTACATAGAAAATGGCATAGATAATGATTTTGTTGTGTCTGGAGGATAAGCTTTTGGCTAGGGCAAATCACGTTGTGATTCCCTATATATCAATGAACTTTACTGCATTAGCATGCCAAGGAACAATATGAAGTATTTGTTGACTTGACACGGATGTAACGTTACTTGCCAATTGAGCATGATAACTGTGACTTTAATGCTCATGATGGTCAGAAGTGTAGAAATGAAGTTGAATGTTTACAAGATACTTGCCCAGCTTTGTGTATGTTGACCTCGTTGGTCTGGCTACGAGTCTGACATTTGAACTCATTGAATATTTTTAGCTACTGCATTTATAAGGCCTCTCTATACCTTAACTCAATCGAATGTCAGTCATGCTCACAATATTCTTTTCCATGTTTCTTTCATTTCATTTTCTGTCCTTGAAGGCATTATGTCATGCTTAGAGTTATTTATTGTTAGATGATAAGAGCTAAAGATTATGCCAATCATGACAGGTATGGGATCTTGGCGGACAAGAAAGACTAAGGACTTCGTGGGCAACATATTACCGTGGAACTCATGCTATCATTGCAGTAATAGACAGTACGGATAGGGCCAGGATTTCTATTATGAAAGATGAACTCTTCAGGTTGCTGGCACATGAGGATCTTCAAAATTCCGTTGTACTGGTTTTTGCAAATAAACAAGACCTCAAGGATGCCATGACCCCAGCCGAGATCACTGACACCCTTTCTCTTCACAGCATTAAGAATCATGACTGGCACATCCAAGCCTGTTGTGCCCTCACAGGAGATGGGCTGTATGATGGTCTAGGTTGGATTGCCCAGCGGGTTACAGGGAAAGCACCCAGTTGAAGATAGAGAGAGAGACAGAGAAAAGAGATTTTTCATATATTTGGGGTTTCAAGGATGAGTGATGTAAAAGTGTCAGTTGTGTATCATCAATGTTATTTGCTCTGAGCAAATTTGTAGATTGTTTCCAATTTCAAATGCTTGAAATATTTTACATTTTGAATCATTAAGCATTTCGTTAAACAATATGATATGCCTGGAAAATTGTTATGCTCTGCCAAAACACTGAAGCATTTAATTGAAAACTTGCTACACTCTGCACAACTGCCCTAAATTAAAGGCACACGAATGAAAGTGTTGCCATAAATTGTCATCTGCACAATGAAGCATCTAGTAAAACATTCCTGAATAACAGCAACAATTGAAATCTGTGATACGTCTGAATCGTAGCCTCTGTGAACGAATGATAATGGAAGCCTGGAACTGAGCAATGATCATCACAATATCCAGCATCTGCAACCTTTTGAATCTTTGGGGCCTTCAAACCATCGATCCCAGAATGGATTAAGAGGGCCATGTGTTCTGTCAATCAAGAGTAAATTACAATAAGAAAAGGGCCGTGAATTTAGAAATTGAAAGAAAGAACTAGAATAGAGGTGTTACACTGGGAGTAATGGATCAGGCCTTGTTTCTGCATTGTTCAGTATTCTGAAGTACAAAACAAAAGTCGGTTAACAAATTGATCATGGGAAAAACAAGCGTTCTAGATAAAACTCAAATAATTTAAGGATCTATCATGCTTACTCCTTGCATGCAGCTGAGGCCTTGTCCATCTTTTCCAGTTGTTCCAACTCTTCCTGTGGAAACAACATAAAAGAATAAATCCATTAGCAATCTGAATACTCAAGTCATGCTGATAAATCATGACATACATGAAATGTCAAACGACCATCCTATTAAATTCTGAGTTATTCAACCCAAACACACACACACAAAATGCCGGTGAGTCACTTTTCAGGTGCCTTTTGGATACCAAATCACACAACTAGTTCATGGAAACTCCTTCCCACCAAAAAGAGAGGAAAGCAATTAAAGCAATGAACATACTCAAAAGCTCCAACTCCTAATCAATCCAAATGTGAATAATGTCCCAAGATGCTTGGCCATAAAAATTCAGGATCTTGGGAAGCTGAAACATGCCACTAGATGCTTGACCATGTGCATCATGGGTGTGTTAGTTAAGATGTATTATAGAAAGACTCAAGAATCCAATTACTTCCAAAAGGGAAAATGTTAACAAAATGATGCACAAGGGCATGCTACTTATCATAACAAGAGAAGGTTACACTACACAGTTCAATGACATTGACATCCAACTTTCCCCAATTCCCCTGAGAAAGGCATTCTATGCCTCACTCTCCTCAAGGTGCCCTACCTCTTTGGTGGAAGAGGATATGGAGTTGCAATTCTTAAAAGAACGTGAGTCTTGTAAAGGAATATGGCATTGATCGAGCTAAATGCAGTTGATGGAAAGTTTCAATGTACTCAACTTCCTATTTTTCAGTCTTATTCGATATCTTACTTCGAAAGTAGTCAGTCAGTTGTGTTTTTAAAACTGGAAACGAATTTAATGTAATCTGAAAGATTCTAATATGGTATGTTGGTTAAATTAATTCCTAGGAAGAGCTAAAGAAAGAACTGGTTACTTCGTAGTTTGTTGTCTTATATAATTTTACAGAAGGATACAATTTTCCTCAGAGTTTTTTGAAAAGGGGTGGTGGGAGCATTTTGGAACTGTAAATAGAAGCATTCTTCATTACACTACTTCTACAGGGGTCAAGAGTGAATCAGCATACTATTACTTAACTAGGTAGGTTCAGGAAATTGATTCAATGACGGTTATGCTGAGAAAAACAATGTTGTAAAGTGCCCAAAGGATAACAACTTTTAGCTCCAGTCCACATCACTGATCACACCGATACATCTGGTTGCTCCTAGGTCGGGAAGTTGAGGGTGTTTTAACAGTTAAAGTCCTGAGAGTTTAAAAGACCCTAACATAAATGTAACAAATTCATAATTTTCTACTTGGCGTAAGAGAAGTCATCTTTCCGACCACCCAGCAACAAATTTAAGAGCCTTTATGAAATTCTACAGCTGAAAAGTAAAATGCTTAGGGGTCAACGTACATTGACTCTGGGTAACTATAATCAACTTTAACCATTACACAACTCCTGTTGTTAATACACCCTCAAGTAACTTGTAGATATTGCTTGATTCAACTGAATATTCTGCAATTTGAGCTAATTTCTTTTTCCTTTTTTTTTTTTAAGTTTTAGTTATCAACAATTTGATAGGTCACACATTTTTACAATACAGCATATATTTGAACCTTATTATTGCACTTTCTTCAGCAACACCCCATGTCATCTTTTCAACCTAATGAAGTTTTGTCTTCAAGGAACAGCTTAAAGACAAAATGTTCACAGGCCTTGCACAGCATTTGACCATATGACAATCATCAAGAACACTAACTTCAAGCTTGGCGCCTATGAAGCCTGAAATATCTATACAGACACAGGCAAAAGGAGTGGGGAAAGTATGTCACTGTATAATGTGTAAACTCAATGACTCACTTCTCATAAGCTAAAAACAAGTGATTAAAACAACTTTCCTACATGGAAGCAGTAAAAACCATCCTGCTTTCACCAACAACAAACCAATCAGTTGTCTTGCAGGAAACATGCACCCACTCATAGCAAGACAACTAAACACCAAAATGTCCTGGACCGTCTACTTCCATTATTATCTATCTGCTGCAAATCAGTTTGTCCTTCTGCACAATAAACTATAACAACCAAGAGGGCAATCAAATTACGCCTAAGCACAAAGCTACATAATAACTGGACCTGAACTAACTAAATGACTAATAACTCCAAAAACTCTAGAAGTGTGAAAAAGACATGGTTGCAATCGCAAAGCAAATCACCGAAGTTCAATTCATAAAAATCCATTTCCACAGAAGGACACCAACTTTTAATAAAACAACCACCCTAATGAATTTTAGCTAACAGTGAATAAGATGGTCACATGGCCGCAATAGGCAAAGCTCAGACGGTCACACTCAAAAGGGGCAGCATAGAACTTCCCAAACTCTCACATTACACTATACAACTAGGAAACCAAACCCACCGATCAATAAAACAGGACCACAATCTAGCAAACAACTAAACCAAACCATTTCAAACTCTGCACCCAGTTCAACACATTCACCACTTAGCTAAATTTTCTAATAAATTCCAAAAGTAGATTTCAAACAGAAAATTCGGTGACCGTACAAAGCCAGCAGCTAATTGAATTCAAATTTGAAATTGGAAATTTCACTGTCTGATTGACACATGCATCCAATCAAAACCGGAAATGAGATATAAAACAATCAAAATTCGACATAGAATGCAACAGCAACAACATCAAAAGGACAAAATTCCCAGCATCAGAATCAAGGTATAATCATCACTGACCTCTAAGAATCTAGCTTCTTGCTCGAGCCGTTTCAACTCGGCCTGTATCCTATGCTTCCCTCTGGTATCAGCGGCTGACAAAGACTGTAGCCTTTGGGTTGTTGGGCTCAATGATTCTGACCCATCCGATTGCATCTTATCACAGATAGCACTAAAGGACTAAACTTCACAACTAATACTCAGTTGCAAAACCAACTTTTTTCACAAAGAAACAAATTGATCATCGCCGCCAGGCCATTGGACTGAAACTTAAGGACGACCCAGAAATCTTCATGGACCCCACAATGAATTTCACACCAAAAACGCAAAGCCCTTTTGCAAAGGAGCGGATCTATAACAGAGAGAGAGTGTTTTTGTGTGTTGGGTTTTTGGGTTTGGCTGTTTTAAGAACCTTTTTAAAGGGAATGGCAGGGGAAAGGAAGAAACTTTCTTCTTTGTGTTTGTTTGGTTTGTTTGGTAGTGGAGAGTGTTGGTGAAAGCTGGTTTTCTTTTCTGTTTTCTAATTTTCTGTGTCTTTTTTGTCTCTCTCTCTCTCTCTCTCTCTCTGCAGACCAAAGAGTCTATCAAGATTCCTACTTTGTAGAGCCCCATGAGATGTTTCATAGTCACACTTTGCACCCCGAAACTGTGGATTGTGGAAGCGCATGGTACCATGGGCTCAGACAGGACAAAATTCAGCTCAGGTCTTTTAGTACTATACAAAGTAAGGCTGAAGAGGAAGTCCGTAACTTGTAAAATGATTAGCTAGGCTGGTGCGGTAGGGTATTGTCACTGACGAGAAATTTTGTGTGTGGTGGACAATAACATCACGTCACATGTATAATAAATTTATCGTAATTATAATAAGTGTACATAAAAATTCCATGTAATATTCTTATCAAATAAACAACACTAAACTTAGCTGGATCTCACTTTGTGCCCAGTGGGTAAGTGATGGATTCGTGACAATTGTGAGAACTTATAACATCAGTTGATATGAACGTTATGCTAGCTATTTTAGAGCGTCTTTAGGAGAGTCTTCAAATTGTAGCTAAATCAGCTAAAAAATTATTATAGCAAACTACTTAAAAAGTGATTCATACATCAATGTTCTTTATTTTGACTAATCTCGAATATTTTATTATTTTTTAAAATCTAAACATTTGATTATCCTAATTCAGAATAGAGGGAGAGAAACAGAGACACATAGTAAGAAAGAGCTGGCAAAGAAAAGAGGAAGAAGACTTTGAATTTTTTGACTGTTGCAAGAAGAATGCAAGGCTTCAATTTCTCTCTCCTTCTTGTTAGATGTAGTGAGCCACTAGATTCCAAAAGTGTGTTTTCCAAATTGGAGAGCCAAGTAGCGAACTTGGTGGAGCTGTGGTTTTCCCTCTTGTCACCAAAATTGGTAAAATAGGGTATAACAATTCTATGGGAGATGTTTTTACACTATTTACCTAACCTTTTGTTTTTCATGCGCATTAAATTTTTAAAATTATACATCATTAAAGTTTGATCCTTATCTTTCTCAATAATTGAATGTGTGTATTCGATTCCAAAGATGATAATGAAGTAATTGAGGAGGGATTAGGGCTAGGGGTTATATTTGAAGATTGGAATGATACTTTCTTGGCTGCTACTATGTCCAAGAGGGGCCTAATGAGGTCTTTTTATTAGCTAATCAAGTGGCAGGGATAGAAGAATAGTTGCCCTTAACTAATGATTTGGG